AAAAAAAAAAAAAAAATTGTAGCACATAGAAGACTATAGTAATAAAAAAATATGTATAACCGAAATTAATGAGCAGTTCAAAACAAATATAATTGTTCCAAGAAATATCGTTTCAGGTATGCTATCATTTAACTAAATTGTACAAATATTATCAAAGTTACAACTAAAAAGAATTGTACAAAACTTTGTAAACATACAGTGAATACCACCCAGCACTAGCTACTATAACTTGTGCGCGGGACGCTAACACACGCACCAATTTAATATACAACTACATTTAACATACTTAATTGATAAATAAGTGTCCCGAACCGAACGCCCGTTTTACGTACAAAATGTCTTCCGGAGTCATAACCCCCTTCCCGTCCCCACCCCTCCTCTTGTACTCTGCATCATCCTCATCATCTCGCTCCTTTAAATGCCTTACTGCAGGACTTCGAGAGTAATTGCGGGATGACCGCAAATTCCTCTGTGAAGAAAATTCCAAAACGAACCTAATAGGTTATACATATGACTCCGGGAAATGATAAACGTGCGATAAAAAAAAAGATAAGCAATAAGCGATAATAGATGGGAAAAATAGCGTTTGCTGCTTGAAATACGTTTATTTCAAGTAGTTCCGAGACTTTTTTTTTTTTTTAAAGCCTCGTCAGGTCCCAACTGCATCTTTGGCAGTACTTTCGAAAAGAGTTCGCCACCAATGATGTTGAAAAGCATTATACGTAAAATGTGCGTTGTGCAATAAGTGCGACATCATTACTTATTACTTGAACGAATTCGGTTGACGAGATTCAAAAATTCAAAAAAGATCGGCGCAACCGTTTTCCCCGTACAGTCTACAGTACAAGCATGCTATACCATTGAGCTCGACACACGCGTGGGATTGGATAAGTGTGTGCATGTATGTACACGAGCGCGGGCTCGCCAGGGACACCCCCTTGACACTCGATGAAGTAACGTCTTTTTTTTTTTTTTTTTTGTTTAAAACCCAAACCCGGCCCCCCGTTTTTCCCCTTTTCTTTTTTTTTTTTTTCCCTTTTTTTTTTTTTTTTTTTTTTTTCCATGTAAAATTGGTGCCAGATATATATATATATATATATACGTACAAATATTGGGTATAAATAATGTACGTGTAAGAAACTTGAAAGGAAAAATAAAGCCCGCGAAACGCTCATCTTCGTACCACGATGCTCGACCTAAGGGGCGTCCGCTGCAAATTCCTGCGTCTCCGCGAAGCCACGTGCGTGTCCCGCAAGTCGATCCCACCCCCGTTGCTCCACGAGCCCCGCTGCTCGACCATCACCCCGTGGACCAAACTCGGCCGGTAGACGGAAGCTATTTCGGCACGATCGTCCGAAGGTATGTCCAAGAGGATCACCTCGCTGTCCGGGTACACGGCAAAGCGGCCGAAGGTGTCTATCGGGGTGGTGGTGGTGGTGGTCACGTTGCGAGAGTCTCGGAGGATGAGCCACTTGAGGGGCGCGGAGAACAATCCCGAGTCGTTTGCCTTTGCCAAATAAAACAACGGAATATTGAATTTACACAAATCACGCGGGCGCATAAATGTGTACACACATATATATATATACCTTTGTCAAAACCTGCAGGGACCAAGGGCAGTCGTAGTCGAGAAGGACGATCGTTTTGTGGGGCACGAAGCGTCTCACGGTCTCGTCCAAGTGCCCCGGGTCCAGGTAATGGACGGCCGTGCCTCTTTTCGAGAGGGTCCTCGACAGCGCCACGACCTCGTCTGTGGAACGGTATTGTTTCAAATATGGGTGCTTTTTGTGCATCTGCCCCTTCCGTTGGGCAACCCCGTTCGGCCAAGGTGCCGCTCGTGTAGTCGTTCGCGCGGGGCTGCGCAACGGTATAACGATACACTTGTGACGTTGTGACTCACCCGTTTTAGCGCACAACAACGCGCTGATCGACGCGGCCGGGTAAAATAAACGGGTCGAGACCTCGGCGATGATATTTGCCGTCGACTCGCCGATCTCGTGGTAATGGTACGAGTCGCAGCTCGAGGACGAAACGATCGAGCTCACCAGCAGAACGGCCAAGAGCCTCCCGATGCTCGTCATCGCCGATTTATGTACCGATACTACCGATCGGCCAGGTTTTTTTTGTATATATGATATGTACTGCTCTCGATCCTTTGTAAAATTGATACGTAACGCAACGTTGGCGAAAGAGTCGCTATGTGACGAGGAAAAATGAGAGCTACCGGCTAAACGATATACCTATTGAGAGGGGGAAAAAAAAAACAGAGCCTTATACCTATTTAATTATGCAATAGCGTCGTTGAGGTAAGTATACATACGGTCTGCAAAGAGCGACGAAGGCATAATTTTGGTACATGCGGCTTGAGAGCCGGCCTCCTTGGCAAATTGTGGATCTAGTTCTTACTGCGTAATGAACGGTACTTAATCGATCGATTGTGAGTATACAATTGGGTGTTGTCGATTGTCAATGCGCAATAACAACGGAGATGATGGCTATATTCATCTGAGCTGGTTATTTGTGTGATCGAGCCAACTAGTTGAACGCGAGGATTTTATACTTATATGTTTTCCGTCGTAATTAAAAAAATGAAAACGATTATCACTGATTAGGAAGGATAAATATGTACAGCTCTGTCGGCATTACCCAAATTGCGGGACTGCGAATAAGAGGGGTATACATGTGTCGTAGACGTAACTGGAGATAACAAGTCGACAAATTACACGTGCCAGGCTAGTAATTTTTTACTTGATGTTTACACATTGATTTCGCAAATTTGTGGATTACGGGATAAGAGTTTATCATGTGTATGTTTTGTGGGTAGGGAGAATGTCGATGGAAGGACATGGTTAATAAATTATAAAGTAAACCATTATTACAATGAAATAATTCATTATATTTTACGAAGACAGACTTTAGTGTGCATACAATAATTTTTTGTTCTTTTTACAATCAAAAATTAATTGACGCACTCTCGAAACGCTATTCGCCCTTGCCGCACGCTTGACCTCACTTACACTTTACGATTTTATTCCTTATAAGTACATAACAAAAAAAAGTCTGTCGTTTTATTTTACTTGCAAAATTTTCTTACGTTCACACAATAACTATAACCACGATCCACTCGACATTCCATGCACTTTATACTTTACACGTAAAACATCATTTTACTCATGCACACAACTGTTCCCTGCAGCCTGTCATTTTTCAATGTTCTTTCGGCCATCGAGGGTTCCGTAATTATTGAAATAAACACGCTTTTAAACTAATTTGTGTGTGTGTAGTAAAAAAGTAAAAAAAGTCTTGTATACTAATTGTGTCTTAGTTATAATAAAATGACTGAATAACTAATGATTTGATGAATATAAAGCTGACTGGTAAAGTCATTACTTTACTGCAAAGTTTTTCTTCATCAAAGGTTTCATAAAATTATTAGAAAATACCATTAACAAATAAAGATGACTTATTTGTATGATAAAGAAGTCAAGTAGTAAGTTTTAAAAAAAATTTCATAAAATTTCTTAAAATAATTTCGTTGAAATTAGCAACAAAAAATCTTAAGCATGCAAATGTATGACTGATTACGTCAAATTTTTGAAGTCTGTGTGAATGCATGCTGAGACAGATATCACTCGATATCGACAAATATGACGAGATAATTTTAAGTATAAGAATACTAGGTATATTAATCTCTTTACATTTGATAGCTGGTATGAATAAGATTACTACTACAAGTTATGCCCAAACGTAATTTTTCGAAATTTTTTGCGCATTCTAAATTTTATCCCGAAAATTTTTAATCAAAGAAACAGTACACAGAGAACTGCCAGGCTACTTTATACAAAATTTGATTAAAGCCAACTGTAAAATTAGCTTACAAAATATAAAAGAGAGTATTAAACGTTTCGTTCGATTGCTGATTTTCTTTTCAAAGTAACACTGAACATTTTTATCACAAACTTTTTTCCAATCATACAATATTTCGTACTCCTTACTTTCAAATATCACTTGAAAAATGGCATTTGATTAGCTAAGAATCGTCAATTAGAACTAAAATGATTGGCTATTAAAATTTTGAATATTGACAAAAAGTTGTTGTATAAAAAAATTCGAGACTACGTGAAATATACAGACAATTACTTGAAAGAACTTTCTTCTTCAATACAACGAAGAAGCTCGGTGTACATCGTATATAAAAAAATTTATACCGAAACAGGCACACTGCTGTAGTTTAATGGAGACAATCTCCACTGGACAGCTTGATACTATAAATACCACGTACAAAACTTCCGATCCGGATGACTAACAGATATGCTAAAACAATTTCAGCACTTTTTCTTTTGATTGAAAAAAAAAAAAAAAAATTCTTCAGTCTTTCCTAGATCCCCTCCCAAAAGGCCCTTGACAAGCAAGCACAGGAGGTTCGTTACGATACAGTTCTAAATACGGATTAAAATAATCGTTTTAGGGGCTTTCCGAGTCCTCACCCTCAAATGGCATTGTATCACGAGGTAAGAGAAGTGATACATGTTCATACCTGCAATGATAAATTAAAATAATGGAGGCTACTTTAAAACGGTAAAATCTTAATAACAAAGCTTTTCAAGAACGGTTAAACCTACTTTTTGTTTTTGTACTTTTCTTGAATGGCTTGTTGCGGTAAATCGGGTGCATTCTTGAACGACCTGTGCAGATGAGTAATACAAGTTTTCAGATCGTGCAGGCTATATCCAGTGGACAGCTCAAGTTCGTGAGGCCACACTTCTTCTCGTAACGTGTGTCGTGCCAGGGCAACTGCAGATGCTGCCAGGTGGCTTGGTAAGAAATGTAGGTACGGATCAGCTTCGAGCAGCGACAGTTCACACAAAAACTAAAAATATTACATTATAACTTAACTTATCCAAGTAATTATTCAACGATGAATAGGTAATTTAAAATGTATACCATGGCCAAGTACTGGACTTTTTCCGGGAGATTGTTGCTGATACAATAATCCATCAGAAAAGCAAGAGGTGTCGGAACGGTCAGATCAAACGCCAGTACTCTTAATATCAGGTGTTCCATTCTCAAAACTTGCTTTTTTGTGTAGGTATCATCTGTTATGTACACAAACTCGACAACCTCTGGTGGATAAATCTCTTCGTATTTCCTTTAGACGGAAAAAAAGATAAAAACTACTCATAAGATATTACTTGGATAAAATAGGAATCTCTGAATGTTTTTTTTTTTCTATACTTACGCCGCGATGAACATGGCAGCTGTACCAACAAGTTGCAGTTTAGCTCGAACTACACTCATGTATGACAAGAATCGGTCGATATAAGAAACAGCCAAATACAGCGTTTCGGTATGCAAGCGATATTCCTCAGCAACTTCAACAAGCCAATCAACCAATATCGTCCTCATCGAATGTGTGATGTCTGGTTGTTTCTTCATGTATCCAGGTTTTGGTCTGTGTAGTTGCTGTAGTTGAAAGAAAAAAATTGTTTTGTGAAATACGCAGATAATAATTATTTCCAAAAAGTTGTAGAATTACTCACTTCAACTGATTTAAAGTATTGATGAATATCAGCTCTGTATTCGTCAATGTCATAAAAATTTGTTCTAGTTGACTTGTATATGTCTTTTTTCGATTTCGAATCTTTTTTTTCTGAGCCAGGGTAAATCACAGACCTGTCTAGAGACATGGGACTATCCTTGTGTAGATCATTTTCTAGCTGCTCTATTTTTATTTCTTGAAGAGCCGACCGATTGAGTCTGTTGGCTACACTTTTTCCATTTTGATGAATTTCCGTAAAATCTTTTTCCACCGTCACCCTAATTTCTGCCAAATGTGAGGCTTCAACTTTTTTGTTTTCCTGCTCATCATCAGGAACAACCGGGGATGGAATTTGTACATTATCTTGATAAATTTGGAATGTTGGTTCTTCTTTCTTATCCTCGTAAATGCTAAATGGTTCGTTGTGGACTGGCAGTTGAGGTATATAGTTGCTTCTTGTCTTACTGAATTTTTCATCTTTGCATAGTTCCTGATAATCAATATGGTTTCATTAATTGATCTACATATTCAATTTTTTTAAATTTCTTACTGTTAGATTAATGAAAAAAAAAAAAAAAAAAAAAAAAAAAAAAAAAAAAAAATTGTAGCACATAGAAGACTATAGTAATAAAAAAATATGTATAACCGAAATTAATGAGCAGTTCAAAACAAATATAATTGTTCCAAGAAATATCGTTTCAGGTATGCTATCATTTAACTAAATTGTACAAATATTATCAAAGTTACAACTAAAAAGAATTGTACAAAACTTTGTAAACATACAGTGAATACCACCCAGCACTAGCTACTATAACTTGTGCGCGGGACGCTAACACACGCACCAATTTAATATACAACTACATTTAACATACTTAATTGATAAATAAGTGTCCCGAACCGAACGCCCGTTTTACGTACAAAATGTCTTCCGGAGTCATAACCCCCTTCCCGTCCCCACCCCTCCTCTTGTACTCTGCATCATCCTCATCATCTCGCTCCTTTAAATGCCTTACTGCAGGACTTCGAGAGTAATTGCGGGATGACCGCAAATTCCTCTGTGAAGAAAATTCCAAAACGAACCTAATAGGTTATACATATGACTCCGGGAAATGATAAACGTGCGATAAAAAAAAAGATAAGCAATAAGCGATAATAGATGGGAAAAATAGCGTTTGCTGCTTGAAATACGTTTATTTCAAGTAGTTCCGAGACTTTTTTTTTTTTTTAAAGCCTCGTCAGGTCCCAACTGCATCTTTGGCAGTACTTTCGAAAAGAGTTCGCCACCAATGATGTTGAAAAGCATTATACGTAAAATGTGCGTTGTGCAATAAGTGCGACATCATTACTTATTACTTGAACGAATTCGGTTGACGAGATTCAAAAATTCAAAAAAGATCGGCGCAACCGTTTTCCCCGTACAGTCTACAGTACAAGCATGCTATACCATTGAGCTCGACACACGCGTGGGATTGGATAAGTGTGTGCATGTATGTACACGAGCGCGGGCTCGCCAGGGACACCCCCTTGACACTCGATGAAGTAACGTCTTTTTTTTTTTTTTTTGTTCTTCCTCTCCCTTTTGAAATCGTGGAAAAGCTACGATTTGAAAAACTAGAGGCTCGCAAGTACTTGCGGGGCAAAAAAATGTACCACAGCACACGAGTACAGAAGCGCATCATGGGGATGTAGAGGGGAAAAGTTAAGGAGAGAATAGAATGTATGCTTACAGGCTTATTGCTCCTGACGAAGTTGTTGGACAGGACGCCGAGGACAGCACGTTTGTTTTGCTGGAGCCCGAGTGTGTTGCTGTCTTTGGCACCGTTGAGCCGCCTGCAGTTCTCCTGTTCGTCGTGCACGCGAATCGTAGCTGCCATCCTGACGAATCACCAAGCGTGCGTGTCCTCTCTCTTTCTCTTTCGTCAACCTGGTCACCAACCAAACGAGCGAGAGCGATCGGTGAAATGGTCTGGAGCCTGTGTATGTGTGGTTGAGGGAGGGAAGAGAGCAAGAAACACGCACGCGGGGAAAGTTCGCCAAGTGAACTCTCTCTTTCCTGTAATCGGCGAAACGACGGGTGAGGACGAAAACGCTCGAGGAGGCCTCTTAGAGCTAACACTGGGACATGGTTTTGGCGATCTCCATCTCGTGCGCGCGCGAAAACTCGTAAGGAATTCTCCCGGACGGTATGGAAGTGTGCGGAAGACGGTAAAGAGAAAGAGAGAGGAAGGAATAAAGAAAGACAAACACGCGAAAAGAGATCCGAGGTCCGCGGGGTATCTGTCTGCCGACGATGCGATGCAAGAGATGCAAGTCCGTATTAGCTTGTACACTATGCTGATGATGCTCTCTTTTCTCTCCCGTCCCGCACTTTCGATCGCTCCGGACTGGCACTGTCCTACTTGCACTCGGTCTGTAGATCAGGGCAGAGCAGCTGGACGAACGTTAAATGACAACAACACAGCCGTGGAGAGAACAGCTTTGAATTCGGCCAATGGATGGTTGGCTGGGGTCGCTGCTGTCGTTTTCGAGGGGTTTACGGCCAATCACAAGTCGGAACCTCAGATACGATGGCAGCTGATATTTTTTTTTTAATTTGTTGTCAAGTGTGGAAAAGAGAGGTTTGGTTGGGTCTTGGGTGTTGTCGTCGTGTGTAAATAATTGTATGTTGCATGCTACGTACATACATACAATTAATTTACTATCAATTCATCCTCAATCTGAACTTTAATAAATTTGATTACACTTAATAATGCTTAGTCTTAATATCTTGAATTTTTTTACCAATTATGAACGTATCAATGCAATTCGATTTTTTAAGGGAAAGGATAAACAACAAAATATATCGTCGTCACGTTTGTTTATTATTAAAAAATGCGGTACTTGGACATGTTACAAAGTAAGTCAAAATCGATGCACTTTGTAAAAATATACGACATAACTCCTATAAATAATTTGCGCTCTATTATTTATAAATCATAATTGAATACCGACGAAAATTCATTCTTTGATACAATAAATAATTTAAAAATCATACAAGCAAACTGCTTAATATGTTTCGAAGTGCAAAAAATCACAGTAAAAGTAAAGTACTTTTTGGAGACAGAAAAGAAGTTTGGAATGCCTACAGAATACAAAATTAAATCTTAGTTGTATTCATCATGCGTAACACTGAAGCATTTGTTTCTTTTTTTTTTCCTCATGTACTTTTAAAATTCTTTGGAATTTATCTTCAACAAACAAAATGAGAAATAAAAATAGGTGATGGAGTGATCAGCGTCTTGCTGTACGGTATTAACTCTTTAGTCTAAAAGTTCTCATCACATAAGAACTATTCATTTTTTACACTCTACTTTCTCACAGCCTTTGAAAATTTTTGCAACTTGTAACTAAAATATTAATAATTAGGAAACGTAAATAAATACATTTTATGTCTACTCTTCACAGAGTATGTAATATTATGGTAATGCTTTTTAGTTAGAATTATGTATAAGGCAAATATTCATTTTGAATTTATTTTTTCAATCAGGGTGAAATAATGTCCATTTATTAAATACCTAATTATACTGAGATGACAAATTTCTGATGCAAAAAGTGTACAAAACAAAGTGAAACTTAAATATTCGAAAATCAATAACTCAACAGATTGTAAAAATGTTTATAGCAAAGTCGCTGATCACTCTTTAAAGAAACTAATAAGTAAGTTAGTAACAACCTATTTGTTCACATTAAAGAATACAAAATGTGCTTTTTCAAGTCGAAGCTTGGAAAGATTTTTTTTTCTTAGCGAAAATATAAGTAAAAGCATGCGATTACATAAACGTCACTGCAAACTAGTGTTTTAACCCATGATTTTGTGAACTTAGAGAAATATATATATTAATATATGATATGAAGTGTGACATGATACTCCATTCTCTAGTAATTCTTGAACTTACATTCAAAATACATATTGTAATAATAATATGGAGATAGTAAAGCTGCAGACCGTGGTCCTGCAAAATTCACAGTGGTAATACAAATTCCTGATTGTATTTTTTAATTAATTAAAGCATAAAAAACAACTTTGCAAAGTAAAATCACAAGTAAGGATTTAAAATAAACTGACTTAATTCAATAGAATTTTCAGTGTTAAAACTTGCGGTAAGTGTAATTAAGCAAGTAGAATAAGTAGAATATTCTTCTTTCATGTACGCTTATTTTTCTTTTTCAGCTTTTTCTGAGTCTTGCTTCTCGTTTTCTCCTGACAAATTATCACCTTCAAATTTTGGACCAGGCGCCTCCTCACCTTCTAGAACAATTTCCTCTGGATCTGGGGCACGTGGCAAGAAATCTTCGCTTGGATACATAGCTTTGAAAATTTCTTTTGCCTAAAAATTAAGGGTTATACGTCAATTGTTTTGACGTATGCACGACATGCGATTGACATTTTAAGCTCAAAGAATAACATTACCTGATTGACAGCGAAATCAAAATCTAAATCTAGGTCAGGACCAGAACACAAGTGAATATTGCTTGGAGCTGAATCGTTAAGTTTAATATCACTAGCTGGTAAATTGAGGTACAAAGCCCATAATACTTGAGGCATAGGAATTCCGGCAGTATCTTCTTTACTTTCTTTGTCGCTTTTCTGACACAAGTATGTTAATACATAAATAAATATGTTTGTAAAACAAAATACATAAGATTATTTTATTCACCTCAGCTGATTGCTGATCAGTAGAGAAAGTTTGTGTGTGCGAATCTGTTGGTGTACGAGACACGTTTTTTTCCAGAGTCTGGGCATGCAAAAATCTTTCAACAACGTAAGCCAAGTCTTCTTTAGCTGTTTTCGTACGTTTGCATGTCATATGAACCATGTCTACAATCATAAAGTGTTATATTTAGTTACAGTTTTTCATTTCAATTGTTATGCGAAAAAAGGATAATTATTACAAAGTCCTTGTGGACAAGCATTTGTTGAAGGCCCTAGTTCAATAATCGTGACCGCTTCTTGACCAGCTTCTTCTGGTGGGTAGTACAGAAGAGTCAAATTTTCTTTCTCTCCTTGCATAATCGATCTATAAAGTAATTTCATCCATTAATAATCGATTAATAAGTTACAACCTTTCCGTAAAGTGATTTACCTATCGGTTATAAAAATACCACGAGAAATTTCATTTTCTCCAGTTGAGGCAACAATTTCTGGGGGCAAGTGACCTTGCCCAACAACAAGATGCTCCAGGGCTAGCCTTTGTTTTCCAGTTAAAATAGCTTTACATTTATCGTCACTCACTGCAACACCATCCAGGTGACGTTTCAAGCAATATACTCCACCAAAAACAGCGCATAATCTGCAAGACATATCGTTTTTAGTTCATACATAATAAATGTCTGTTGATTTCGAAAAACAAAATATACCTGCAGAAACATTGTGGTAGTTCTCCACTACCGTACATAGGCCACAAAAAAGGTGTGTTGCCATAACGTCCAAGGCTGTTGAGGAAGTGTTTTGTACGATTGACTCCATCCCTACAAGATGTCTTATTAGTGGCCATAGCTATGGCTTGCATGACGTAATGCTTAACAATTGGTGTTAAATTTTTGGTGTTCAAATATTCTAAAAACGTTGCGTCACGGAATCCTGCAAGCAAATTGTGATTGTGGATTACCATAAACGTTAACTGTAATATTATAACAGTATTTTACGAGATAACCAACTCTAATTAAATATGCTGAGCAGCACAATGAGCCATAACTTATTAAAATGTACAACGAATGGTGGAATAGATGTAGCATTTCAATCAATGTATAAAATAGCTTCTTTTTTTTTTAATAAAAAATTTATACCCAAGATAATAACATAAAGATATGCCTACCATCAAACTCTGGACTATCAACTCCTTGATCCATGCATGATGTAAGCAACTGCATAAGCATTCTCTTCTCAATAACACTGACAGTTTTATTGGCAAACACATCAGCTCGAGAGCATGGAACCTGAGTAAGTTTATCATCCATGAAGGTAGCAACCCTGGACACTGCTCTGAACTCTGCATAACGAGCGATATTGCTTGATATCAATAACTCCACCAGGTCACCTCTAGCATAAAGAAGCTAAAAAAATAAAAAAATTTATTATTGGAGAAAAAAACTAGTATTGAGTAAATTAATCACCTTGGGTGCGAGATCAATGTTAAATTTTCTGTACTCTTTTTTTATGCGATCTATGCTCCAGTGTTTCGTTTCTTTCTTGTCATTTTTATCCTCATCAGATTTTTCAACACCATCAACAGCTGCATCACTTGAACCTTCAGTTTGTGTGTCTTTTGACAAAACCTCAGGTAAATCAGAGTCACTAAAATCAAAGAAATAGTTACTCTTACACAACTATTGTTCAAAAAATATGAAAAGCCTAACAATAATAGTAAATACGCACCGTGAAATGAACCATTCCTCAATGATATTTTTTACTGTGGAATACTGGTTGCTAGCCATCAAAAATTTTTCCCCATCATTTAAATCTGGTACAAAGTCCCGGGTATCATTTTTACTTGCCTTGAGATCTTCCATCCACTTTTGCAAGCCATCAAAATTAAAAGTGGCCCACAATCCCCCATAATATTCATTACTAGAAATAAATTTTTACATTAGTTGCCTCTCATTAATGAGACATCTCATTGTAATTAATGAATCCTACCTATCCAAGTGCAAAACCTTCTTGCCAATTCTACTTGCTGCAGCAGCAACAATAGATTCTGTCATTCCTAAAACATGTGTTCAAAAATTGTTAAAAAAGTGATGACCAATGAATCTCAATGAACAACGTATCGTAAAAAGTTTTACTATATGTAACAAATGAGGAAGTATAAAGTTTGTAGTAGATTGTTAGATAGTTTGCTCTGAAACAATAGCTGTCATTAGAATTGCCACACTATGTTCCTTTTGTAAACAATTTTGAAAATAAAAACATCAACGCTCATGTTTACAATCAACATCGCAATGTACATCTTCAAAAATTACTTGGAACATAGCCAGTGTGTCGGTATTTCTTGGGGGAAAAAATCGATAAATGCCAAAAAAGAAAAGTGCGTGCAATACGTTAAATTTGCAAAATAATCTTAGGTACAATTAAAAACACGCAGAGATTTTTAATGTAAATTAGCAGTTATGAATAAGTTGGTGTCAGTATCCATGACAGCTGTTGCTCACAAATATTTCCATCAAAATTTGTGAAAGGATAAGGATAAAGAGAGAGAGAGAGAGAGAGAGAGAGAGAGAGAGAGAGAGAGAACAGCTCGACATTTTTAAAGGGCTATCTTGGCGTAGTAGTAAGGTCATAAGATGCTAACTAAACGTACATGAATCACCACGTCGAAATAATTAGTGCAGGGCAGATGTACTTCATGTAAGTATTAAGTACTAACAAAGATATCATGTATCCTTAACGATATACCTGTCCCGACGACGATGACGTCGTACTCAGTTGGCAGATCGTCCTCCATCGTCCTGCTGTGCCGTGTATGACTTCTCTGATGTATGTAATCAGCGGTGTCTACTGGCGACGCCTCTACCTCTACCCTCTACGACTTCCAGAATCAATCAAATAAAAAGTGTACGAGTAACACTGTTGTCTACAATAAAAAATAATTAAGTACAATCAGAGAGGATATACGGTGGCCGTATGTATACTGTAGCTAAAGCTGAGGGCTGAGGCTGACTGACTTCTTGTGCGTATTATATACGTATAAATGTATTATGTGTAGCACAGCAATTATATATTTTACTTGTCGCTGGTTCGCTTTGCCAGGATCCAGGATGCCATCAGCACCTTGTCATTCAGAACATTTCGAATAAAGTTAATGCTTTACACTTACATTTGTGTACCCGGGCTCTCACCACACTCGCACTGCCAAATAGATGCGCTATAAGTATAGCTACCTAAGATAACTGCCTTTGTTTTTTATAGCAATAATAATTAATAAGCATTTAGCACAAGTGTACGTAGTTGTACTTGTTAAACTGTTACGGCTGGTTACGGGTTACGGGTTACGGACTGTGTTGTGTGTCCTGTGGTCGATAAGTAAGAAAATCTTATCAGCGCCATCTACCGTTGCGGATTTCGCGGTCAGACGCAAACTATTTTCTAGGGGATCCGTCTTGGAAAAAATCCTAGATTCTAGGGATTTCTAGCAGCAGTAAATCACTAGGCGCATATATAGATATACAGTAGGTCAAAAATCGCAGACATGAGAGAAAGAGAGAGAGAGAGAGAGAGAGAGAGAGAGAGAGAGAGAGAGAGAGAGAGAGAGGTAGTATCTATACACATTACACACTCGGTCGCCCTGTCACTCTCAGCAGCTTACATATGCTCACTCCACTAATTTTGCCACAAACAGCACAAACAATGTTAACTTTATATTTCATATTTATGCAATTAATTGCGNGGTCAAAAATCGCAGACATGAGAGAAAGAGAGAGAGAGAGAGAGAGAGAGAGAGGTAGTATCTATACACATTACACACTCGGTCGCCCTGTCACTCTCAGCCGCTTACATATGCTCACTCTACTAATTTTGCCGCAAACAGCACAAACAATGTTAATTTTATATTTCATATTTATGCAATTAATTGCGGCTGGTTTATAACTGACTAAATTGCTCTACTGTAAGTATATATATAGTTATAACTATTTGGATCAGCGCCATCTAGCGTTGCGAATTTCTGAACTAAAAAGTGGCCCTAAACTTTTGAACCAGAGCATTAGCGTGTAGAGCCATTTAGTCAATTATAAACCAGCCGCAACTCATGATAAAGTTACAAAATAAAAAAATAATAATACGTGTGTTTTTGGCGGCAAGATAACAATCTATTTTTTACCAAAAAATTGACCTCCTATGTGTTTATACTTTTGAAGATAGATTTTCGAGCATAAAGTAGATTGTTAACTTGCCGCCAAAAACACATGTTACGTTATTTTTTTATTTTATAGCTTCGTCATGAGTTGCGGCTGGTTTATAATTGACTAAATGGCTCTAATCCTGAATGCTCTGATTTAGAATTTTAGGAGCCATTTTTGGCCAAAAAATAAAGACCACTAGATGGCGCTGATCCAAAATAATTATTGCTACTGACAGTAAAATCACTTTATTAGTTATAAACCAGCCGCAACAAATTTTATAGGTAGATAATAAAAAGTTAACATTTTTTGTTTTTTTGCGGCAAGTTTACAATTTATCTTTTACCTAATCCATCTATATGGCACTACTTAGTAGTGAATTAGTGATTACTTTAATTACTACCATATATAGAGATATTATAGTATCTCTATGATTACTACACATAACTTCACGTATATCTTAGAGCACTACTGGAATGAGCATGCAAGCCTTATTGCAAGCGGCTGAGAGATCGTGAAGGTAGGGTCAGTCAACAGTCGGTACAGCAGGGCCAATGTTTTTTGTGCTCTACCGACGGTTGGCTAACTCGCTCGACTTGCAGGTCTCTCTCTTACGTCATGTCTACCGTCGGTACAGAAGGGTTTGCAACGCTAGATGGCGCTAGATCCAAATGTAAGGAACACGCACACGCACACACACAATTACTATTTAAATACGTACATACTAATAGAATAAATGTAACAATTAATTAAGTACTCTAAGGACCAGCCTTACTTTGTATTTTTATGAATTGTTAAGCGCAACATTAGTATTCTAAGCGCACGAATGTTTCAATAATTTACTTATATTCAAACCAATGTATTGTATGTATAAATATATGTAAATATCATTAAATGTAACCAGAAGTGTACTGGCATATGTATATTTAATACGACGCGAATAAATGAATTAAATCAATTAAATCACACACACGGTCGCACGGCACGCACGGAGGAGATTTTTCTAATTTTTGTCAAATTTTAATATGCATGTGACCATCAATATCGACTGTAATTCGGTGCACGAAATTAGACACTGCAGGTTTGCGATTTTTGACCTACTGTATATCTATATATGCGCCTAGTGATTTACTGCTGCTGGAAATCCCTAGAATCTAGGGTTTTTTCCAAGACGGATCCCCTAGAAAATAGTTTGCGTCAGACCGCGAAATCCGCAACGGTAGATGGCGCTGACACACTACACACGATGCATAAGAGCAAAATGCAAAAAGGAACTGGCTTATGTAAAAAAATACAAAGCCAATAAACTAAATTAAGCAATAATGCAATATGCAATATATATGCAATTGACAATAGGTACCTATTAAGTACGCCACAATGCCCCATACCAGATGTTTATTGGCTTTAGAGATATTTTTGTATATGGTGTATATATAGTTACAACGTTTGTACCATCAAAATACAGCAGACGAAAAAAATGCTGCTCCCAACGCGGCTAATTGGAAATACTTTGTTATTAACAAATAATTGTTGTTGTCAATCCATTGTAAATATTGCACTTGTAAAAACGTACAGGAAACATATTTCTAACATTTCGGTGTACAATCGAGACCGTTTTTCAAGTAAAGGTAAAGATCAAGGTTAATATTGTCAAACTCGACACGTGTGTTTTGGTTGTTTGTTTATTAATACAATTTCTTTTTTCACGTTTTACATCGCTACGTTTCATGATTGAATTTTTGTATGATGTTTTTTATGAGATTTGTGAAATTTTATTAGTGATAAAATTTAATTTAGACTTAAATTGAATGTAATTATAACCTCACGTTCATCATTTTGAAATTAAATAAACAAAAACGAAATATTTTGGTGTTTATCTAGCAGCATCCACCGTATCACCGAAAGCAAACTCTTACATTGTGTACGATGAATTATTACGGCAAAGGAAAGCAGAGGCCAGCAGGTCAATTATTGTACAAGTGCAAAAAGAAAACTTATGTGATGATGTATTATTGTATTGTTCACAATTTGGAGAAATCAACAAAATATTTCATTACACGTCCCATATCATAGAGCACTCGCAAAAAGAAAATAAGGTATTTCGTTGAAAAATATCATTTTGAATGTACATGTCTTTGAATGCGATTAAAACAATTTTTTACATTTTTGCAGGACCTGGTTTTCATTGAATTTAAAGATGAAAAACACTTTGAAGCTGCACTTACAGCATCAACGCATGCAAATCACCAGTATATCATACCGGCCTGCACACCAATGCTATGGTTCCGTCACACTAAAAGTTCATCAATTAAAAAGAAGCTTACAAGTAATAAACAAATAGAAATTAAAAAAGATTCTTGTAAAGTTTTGAGTAAGATGGAAATAAAAAATAAATTAGCTAAAGTCGATTCCGTGAGTAATTTTTTTTCTATTTCTTTCTTAAGTGATTCTAAATTCTTAAATTGTTTAAATGAATTTATTATAGATTTCTGAACAAATATTGACTTTATATGACTTCACAAAACTGAATGATGCTGGCACGAGATTAAGATTTTTCACGGCTTATCAAATTGAAAGATGTTTTAAAAGTTTATTCCCAAATTTAGTTGTTGTACCATTTGGCTCATCTGTCAATACTTTTGGCAAGCAAGGCTGTGATTTGGATTTAAGTTTGATCTTAGATCAGAATAATACGGTATAATATTAACAAAATATTACGAAATACCTTTCTCAAAATCATATGCAGTGACTGCAAAATAATTATGTATTTTGGTACAGGAAAAAATTTCCAGTAGTTTAGTTTACCAGACTAAATATTTCTCTGGACAAAATAAAACTCATGTGAAACGACTAATGGAAACAATCGCAGACAGTATGAGTACTTTTCTACCAGGTGTTTCTAATGTCAAAAAAATTTTAGAAGCCAGAGTTCCTATCATTAAATTTGATCATCTGTTGTGTGGAGTAGAATGTGATCTATCCACAACAAATATGTAAAAAAAAACACATTGTTCAAAAATAAGTTCTTAAATCAATGAAAAATTGTATTATTTATTTTAGTTATTTAATTTTTGTTTTAGGACTGCCTATTATATGTCTGAACTTTTGTACATATTTGGCGAAATGGATTGGAGAGTGAGACCACTTGTATTTACTATCAGAAAGTGGGCAGAGTCCATTGGTTTGACCAGTAAAATTCCTGGACCCTGGATATCAAATTTTATGCTGACAATGATGGTATTATTTTTTTTACAACAACAGCACGTGTTGCCTTCAATTAATAGTCTTAAATTAAGTGCCAGTAAGTTGTTCAAAATAGTTCAATGTACTTTCATACTATATTTTAATCAAAACTTTTTTTATTGCTAGGTCAAAACGACGTTCGAGTAGCAGATGTTCACGTTGACTGTACCTTTTTAAGGGACATAACTAAGCTGCCAAAAACGAAAAATACAGACTCTCTGGAAAAACTCCTCCTAGATTTTTTTTCATACTACAGTAATTTTGATTTTAGCGCGAAAGCTATTTCATTGAATATGGGAAAACCTGTACTCAAGTCAGAAAATCATCCTTTGTATATATGTAATCCACTGGAGGTAAATTTAAATGTTAGTAGGATTGTGAGCATCGATAGTTTGCATCGTTTAGTTTTGGCATTTCGTGACGCTACGTGGGTGTTGGAAACCAAAAAAGAAAGAAACCACGAAAGTAAGGGGCTTCTTAGTTTGTTTTCAAAGGAAAGTATACAAAAAAATTGGAAAGAAAGTAAAAAAACTGCTCGATGATTGAATGCTTGTAGAGCAAATGTACATTTCTCTGTCGTAAAATTACAGAATTATACACAAAAATTGTATACTTCCATCATAGATTATTTTTTATGGTTTGTACATAAATTGTTTTCAAAATAAAATAGTTGTACAAAATTTACATGCATTATTAAGAATGTCGTTGTAATTAATCGTAATTGGAAAAGTTCCTGCTCAAACTTTTCTAGCCAATGTATAGTGAAGAAATACATGTAAAAAAAAAAAAAGATGCCGAATGTTGTTAAGCCGTATGAACTTTGTTTCAAAAACTTTGAGTTTTAATAGTTAAAGAATACACAGCTTTTTTTTATAAACGTAAATTTATTGATTTTCATATGATTTTTTTTAATACTAAATTGTTATAAACTGTAAATACATTTTAAATAAAATGAACGCGCTCGTTTCAGCTTACTAGGACAATTAAATTTACTTGTAAAATTCGTGTTCAGACTCATCCTTTTTAATGTTATTCTTGTAGCCTTTTTCCATGTCTTTGGCGAGGACGATGTAGCGATTTTCGCGCACAGCGTGCATACCTGCTTCTTGACAGATCGCGTTAATGTCAGCACCGGAAATTCTGTCTGGCCTGGCTACGTAGTCCTCGAGGTCAACTTCCTCGCTTAAATTCATTTTCGTGGTGATCGTCGAAAAAATTAATCGCTTTTGACGACGATCGGGTAATGGGAACTCAATTTTACGATCCAAACGACCAGGTCGAAGTAGTGCGGGATCAAGGGTGTCAGCTCTGTAATTTTTTAAACCATTAAGATTTAACATTAATTCCTTGATATGTGTTTATACGAATTAAAAATAATATCTAGTGTACCTGTTGGTAGCCATGATGACTTTGACATTGGTTGTTTGATCAAAGCCATCCATTTGGTTCAGCAATTCCAATAAAATACGTTGCACTTCTCTGTCGGCTCCGGTTTGTGCGTCGAAACGCTTTGTGGCTATTGCATCGATTTCATCAACGAAAATGATAGCTGGAGAATTTTCTTTTGCTAGGCGAAAGACATCTCTCACCATCCTCGGACCTTCCCCAAGGTATTTTTGTACAAACTCAGAACCGACAACGCGAATGAAAGCAGCTGTAAATGCCACATACATTTAGTTAAAAAATCGATGTGCAAAATATTTTTCTGTTAGTAAAAAATTCACCAGTAGTGTGTCTCGCGACAGCCTTGGCGAGCATAGTTTTGCCACATCCAGGTGGTCCATACATCAGTACACCCCTTGGTGGGTCAATACCAATTTGTTTGTAAAGTTCAAAGTGAGTGAGCGGTAATTCTACTGCTTCCCTGATTTCTTGCTTTTGCATGTCCATACCTCCAATGTCGGTGTAGGAAATGTCGGGCTTTTCATCTGAAAGTAAGGCAAATTGTTAAAAAACTCAAAGCTATTAATTTCAATAATAAATATAGGTGAATAATTGAGGCTTTTTAACACGTCACGAAACGTTTTACCTGCTTGCAGCATAGATATACTTGAATCTGCCTCTGGAGGTAGGACATCCACAAGAGCATTACTGTGTTTGTGAAGAGCGACACTGGCTGAGGGTTTCAACAATTCTCTGTCGATTGTTGACAAAATGCGCACATAATAATTCGAACCCGTTGTTGACCCGACAATTCCAGTGTTTTGATCCACTGCTTCTAAAAATTGTCCAATCACCAATGGTACACTTTGTATTCGTTTTACTTCTTCTTGAGCATGTAAATATTCCTTTTTTAGATTCCTTTGTTCATCCTTAATATATTCTTCTTGAACCTCTAAAAACTCAAGCATGCGTTGCAGTTTCTATAAAAATAAACACAGGTAGTCAGCAAAACTCACGGTGAAATATTACAGAGGAGCTATTTTTTTATGTCAAAGATATATAAATTGAAATACATGATACTGCGATTATAATTGACTAATTTACCTTATACTTGGTATAAAGATCTTCAACATCCAACTCATCTAGGTTCACTGAACCTTGACCGATCAATGGCTTTGTGTCCACTTCACATTGTTCCTAAAATAATAAAAATCAGTGCAAAAACCAAGATTGACAGGTAAAAATCCTCAGAAGAGTCATAACTTTGTGGAAAAAACAAAATAATTTAAGTATAGGCATCTTTTTAATTTAAATAACACAGCATAAACTCTTGCAAGCCTTGTCTAACCAAAAACATCATAGTTTTCGTCATCAAAATACAAACACCTCCAAACCACTTATCGCTTTGACTCAGAAAAAAAGGTAAAATGATCGATGATACCTTTTCGGGCAACGTAACGCTCATTTCGTCCATTTTACAAAACGATGATGGCCCAAATTTTACGCCGATCTGGAGCAAAATTAAAACAACACCGAACGCAAAATGACTCGGAGCTTTTCAACCGAGCAGAAAAGATTTGTGTGTTAAACGTCGATGTTAGGTTAGGATACCATTAAGGAGAATTTACACACGAGAATTTGGATTTGAGATACTGGAGTCGTAATAATAAAAACTGCACTTAAGTGTATCAAAACAAACATTACAAAAAAGAGAAATTTAAAAGCGTGCACCCGGTAAGTGGAGACAAGAAATTGAATTTTTATTCTTTTTAATCAAGTAAATGAACTGAATGATAAATATGTTATTAAAATTCAACACGGAAATCTCACTTGTATACATTACTAAGTTGCATCATTTTTGTTGTCCAGACAATTATTTTCCACTATCGAATCAGTACTTCATCAGAATACACATAAAAATTAATAATCTCTAACATATACTTGAATCATTTGTAAAGTGTGTTTTGTTTTTGAAATTCTACAGAAAACAGAGAAAGCATGGTCACCGAAGAACATCTTTCTGACATGGAACTTGCCTCCAAAGACATAGTAGTACCCAAGGTTGTAGTGCCTGAGATCCAGATATCAACAGACAACGAGAAGGGAAATGAGGTTCCTCGCAAAAATTATAGGCGCAGGAAGAAGGCACTTTATGCTGCCCTCCTCAAGCAGATGGAGTTTTACTTTAGTGACTCCAACTTGGCCAAAGATAGGTTCCTTGCCGATCAAGTTAAGGAGTGTCCAGGTAATGTTTCTCATAATTATAAACTGCATTGTTATTAATTGTTCATGAAAACATTTTCCAGACGTTCCTATTGAAATATTTCTAAAGTGCAACAAAATAAGGTCTCTTACAACAAATCCGAGTGATATAGCTGGAGCATTGAAACACTCGAGCATGCTTCAGGTCTCTAAAAATGGCACCGCAGTCAGAAGAATAACTCAAATAGTGGAGAAAGCCAATGTCGACGATTGCACGATATATGTTGAACGATTGCCACCAAATACAGACCACGAGTGGTTGCAGAGTCAGTTTTCTAAGTATGGAAAAGTTAATTATGTATCAATTCCAAAGTTCCCACATACCAATAAAATCAAGGGTTTTGCTTTTATTGAGTTTGATTCTCCCGAGGAAGCTGAGAAATGTTTAAAGGTATTTCAGTGTACATTACTACTTTTTAAATTTTCATTCAATTTTTTTCAATAACAACGTATTTCTTAAGCTTGTATACAATGTCATTGTTTTGATCAATTAACTTGTTACCACCAGGATTTCAAAGACAAAGGTTGTACGCTTCCATCTGAGACACCACCTGAAAAAATGCTGAGTATTGCAACTTTTTCAGAGAAAGAGAATTACGAGAAGAGTATTTCAAAAGAAGAAACAAAAAGTATTGATAATGAAAAAATAAATGATGAATCTTTAAAATCATATAGTACCAAATCTAACAACAAGGAGGTAAAAAATAACCAACTCAGCGATATTGAGAAGCCTGAAACAAATCAACCAGAGCCTGATAATACAGAAGAGAATGTAGAAATTGGTAAACATTCTGAGGAATGTCTTGATAATTTAAGGGTGGTAAAAGAAGAAAAGAAAAGTAAGAAAAAAAAATATGATATCCAAGACTCTGATCAGCCAGACGTTACCAATGCCAAGAAGAAAAGAGTTGATAAAGAGTCAGAATCTAATACAGAAGGAGAAGAAAGAAAAAGAGAGCGGAAAACTGTGCATGAAAAACATAAAAGTTCTGGAACCGAGCATAGAGATTCTTCAAAGTCAACTAATAGCAAAGAAAGTGATAAAGATTCTGATGTGTGTCTTTTTGATTCATCTAATGGAGGAGAAGAGAAGCGTTGTAAGAAACGCAAAAATAGACATTCCATTGAAGAAGTAGCTGCTCCAGATGCAGAGGCACAAAAGATCGTTGGTGAAAGTGAAAAAAAACATAAAAAGTTGAAAACAGAAGTTGTAGAAACTGAATCTGATGGGCACGAAGTTGAAAAGGTAGTACATAGCGAAGATAATGGAAAATCAGAATTAAAGAAGAAAAAGAAACGCAAGAACAAACATTCTGATGAAAAATTAGCTGCCTCTGATGCAGAGGCACAGCATATTACTCATGGGGGTGGAAAAAAACATAAAAAGTTGAACACAGAAGAATCAAAAGTTATAGAAACTGAATCTGATGCGCACGAAGTGGAAAAGGCAGTATATGGCGAAGAAACTGAAGAATCAGAAATAAAAAAGAAAAAGAAACGTAAAAACAAACATTCTGATAAAGAAGTAGTTGTCTCTGATGCAGAGGAACAGCTTATTACTGATGAAAGTGAAAAAAAAAGTAAAAAGTTAAAAACAGAAGAGTCAAAAGCTATAAAAACTGAATCTGATGCACATGAAGTTATAAAGGCAGAAAATGAAGAAGCTGAAGAATCAGATGAGAAGAAGAAGAAAAGGAAGAAACGTAATCGTAATTATGATGATACTCCTGCAGTTGTAAAAGAACATTCTCTCATGGGGATACAAGTTATGGCAAAGCGAGACTGGAAGAAATTGCGAAATAAGTATTTGAATCTTCAAAGAACAAAAATGAAGCAGCTGAAGCAGCATCTGTGGAAAGTGAAGTGGAATCAGTGGGGTGATAGAGTTAAAGTAGAAAAAATGGAAACTCACGTGGAAGAAACTGAAAGCGTCAATCCGGCATCCAAACTAGAGTTCTCACCAGGTTTGATAGTAAAGGCTGAATTAAATGAGCCATGTATTGATCCAAAAAGTTTTAAGGTAAGTTTCTGTTAAAAGTGACCTCAAATTTAATGCTCATGCAAGTGAAAAAATAATTTTTTTTTTACCTAGGCTGAACTCAAAAGCACAAATAACAATATTAAATACGTTGATATAAAAAATGGCTCCAATGTAGCTTATATTAGATGTGATTCGGCAGAAGCAGCAACTCTTTTATCTGAGACAGCTAGTCAAGATTCAACAAAAAACTTCAAGTTATTAACAGGTTGATAATATTGGAAAAATTCTTTTTTTTTTGTATTTAAGTACTATATAATTAATAGTTTTTAAATTAACGATTTATATTTATAGGTGAAGAAGAAACTTGTTACTGGAATCAAATAAAAAGGGATCGTGAAGACAAATGCACCAAAAACTTTCGGCAGACTGTAAGGGGACGTAAAAAATTGTTTAAAAAAGCCGAGAAAGAACTAGGAAAACATATTAAATTTGATGATTGAAGTTATACTTGCTTAAAACATGTATGTTATATTTTCTGACTCATCACTAATAAACAAGGTACTCCAATAGTTTTACCTATTAATAAAAATAACGTTTATTTCTTCATAATTCTTATTTACAAAGTTGAGCAAATAGCTCTACATTTTACGTCATACAGAAAAAAAACTTCTGTGCACTTTCACATAGATTGTCAATATTACAGTACTATGTTTCAGACTTCCATCAAGTACAACAATGCTGCACCTCGAACATACAAATTGTTGCTTTCTAAGTCCACATGTATGTCGGTTACCACCTGCCTCTGCCACCACCTCGTCCACCACCACCGCCGCCTCCTCTTCCTCCACGAAAACCACCACCTCCACCTCCGAATCCACCACCACCTCCTCGGCCTCCAAAACCACCTCCTCGGCCTCCAAAACCACCCCCTCGGCCACCACCTCGACCACCGAAACCACCGCCACCTCCTCGGCCTCCAAAACCGCCTCCTCGACCCCCTCGTCCACCCCGGCCGCCACCACCTCCCCGTTTCTGTACAGAACCTGGTGGTTTAGGCAAAAACCTTTGAAGAGGCAAGAGTTTGGCAGGATCTATGTACAGCTGGAATGATATAAGTAAATTGTTATCACCTTTGTTTGAAATAATTTACTCAAAAAACAAACAATGGTATTAAAACTTAAAAATACCTGTGTATCCGCTTGGAAACTTGAAGCTTTGATACCCTCTGACAATTTAATAGACACATAGTAATCCCTAATGTTTCCAAAAATCTCATCTATCTTGCCAATTTGTTGTTTCTCTTCTGTGTAAATTGGAGCATTGAAGTAAGGAACTTGTTCAATGTTGACCTTAGCAACCAAGTCGTCCTGTGCTGTCCATTTAAAATGACACAACGGAGTCACCTGTTCTGGTGGTCCTTGGTCATATCTATATATTTTCAGAACGTGTTACATATCTAGACTTTACGAGCGATAAAAATATGAAAGTGAATTGAGAATATTAGAATAAGCACTCACCCACTTCTTCTGTCTCCACCACCTCCTCTGCCGCCTCTGAATCCACCTCCTCCCCCACGTCCTCGAAATCCTCCACCTCCTCCTCCTCCGCGACGGAACGACATTTTAAACAATTATATTCTGCAATAAACAAACGTTAAGTAAGATATCAAATGTCAAATATTGACGCTGAACTTGTGTGCAAGTAATATTCAAGCGACCAGTATTTTAACATTATGAAAAAAGATTATTAATGGTACGGTTAAAAATACTGATTATACTTTTATTTTTAAAAAGTTTCGTGAAACCTAAAGTACCTCTAACCTTTAATCAAAAATCAATAACACACCAAATTGTACAAAAAATAAATAGTGACACTGTGTACCCGGAACAACAACGTGAGAGCCAAAGGTAAACATAACCAACAAAATCGAGCACATGGAGTTTAAATCAGTGCTCTCTTCCGATTGGCCGAACGAGTAAGCTTTGTCATTGGTGCTCCAGTAAAGGCGCTGATTTTTTGAATTCCATCAGCTAATTTAAAAAAAAATTTATTTAAAATATAAGTCCACATCAGTATATTCAATTAGTATTAATATATTATTGTTTCAATATGTATACATTTAAATAAATCACATATATGAAAATATCGCAAGATATTTTTAATATCACGTAAAGTAGGCGTATATAGCACCTTAAATTGATAAATTCGTTTAAAAAAGTCATTGGCTTATGTTATTATTAAATTATGGTTAAACTTATTCATTCCAATAAGTTATTGACAAATGAAATAACAAAGGTGAGCCTCGACCGATTATCAATTACTTGTAGCGATATTATCGATCGGATTTCGGAGGCTGTAAATAGTCATCCAATGTAACATATTTCGGTCCTCCAAACGTGTCCAATACGGCAATCGTTCCGATCTTCAATTTCGCAAAGAAAAAGTGATGATCTACAACAGAATACATTTTTTAATAATAGTCAAATCATGCGATTGATAAGAAAAAAAAAGAAAAAAACTTATTCGCACCTTTTGGCATATGGGCAAGCCAAGGATGTCGTCCGAATATTGCACTCTTGGCTATCGGATACTCGGGATTATTTTCCTTCACCTATAGAAAAAAAAAAAAAAAAAAAAAAAAAAAAAAAAAAAAAATACACACGTGTAAACAAAGTAAAATTGAATTATGTAAAAAACGTATGCACCTCCTTGATTTTTCCGCTAAACACAACCCTGGCGCAACGTGGATCCATTGGGTCGTAATTTTTCGACTCACAATACCTCCCTTGGGCCAAAGTCATCATTAACGTGGCCCGATCGTCTTTCTGTGATTAAAACAAAAAAAAGTCGTTAAATAATTAAAATATTGTTATTTTACCGTTAAATGTTTGTTATCTATTCCTNGGATAGTAGAGGACAGACAGATAAGGTGCCACAGACATCGTAGCCATGCCACTTTTTTATCTTTATGCAGAAAACAGTACCACTAATTTTCAATATAAATAAATTTTGTTATATTGTATTACCATTTATTGACTGGCACGAGTAGAAAGTCTTCCTCAAAGACCCTTATTTTTTGCTTAGTTGCCTTGGTAAGCGTTCCTGCATTCAAAGCTACATTTCACATTATAAATCAGAAAAAAAAAAAAAAGTTATCCTCAAAAGGTAATTTTAAAGTACACAATGTACACATAGTAAACAATACATGTACTTACGAAAACATCTTGGGCGGTAAAATCTAGTGGCGTGAGGAACATATACGGAATCCCAGTACCGTTGCCGAGGGGGCCATCGCTGAAGGAGATGATGTTCACAAATGGATAGGTTTCGGTGTCTTTTCGCGAGCTAACTGTCGCTATTGACGTCCAGCCTGAAACAGTTTATTTTGATCGCTACATTTTCATCACCATAAATGAGCTCTGATTAAAAAACCACTCACGAGCTCGATTAAAGTTGGTATCAAAAGCTTAATTTTTTTTAATTTATCTTTAAGAAATTTTTTGCGATTGTCATGAGATGGTGCATTTTTTACATTGAAAAAGATAACACGTGATGTTCAAACTTTCTTTGTTTATTAAGTTTACTCGAACTTTGAAATAATTCATGAAAAATATTAGAGAGTAAGAGTAATTTTTCGATAAACTGATGTAATAAAAATTTAAATAAAAAAATCGAAAAATCATGACTAAGCAAGATTTTGGTGCAGTGATGTATTTGTATTATATTTTATTTATAAGATGAAAATATAAATATTGTTTTTGAAGACATTTTTTAGTGCTGTTGTTATTTAGACAATCGCATGAATGTTTAAAAAAAAAAAAAAGATACGAATTCAAACACTTTAAAACTGTAAAAATACAACTGCAAAAAAATACATAGATGCTCTGACACGAAGGCGTTTGATAAAAAACATTATTCATTCTTATCTCCAGCTATCAAATTATAGTGAAAAATGCATACTTCAAACAAAGATTTGCAATTTTTCGAATAAAACAGCTGCTTTGATTTAAATTTCCGTTTGGTTTGCGTAAAAAAAAAAAAGAACTTTCCGAAAGTCCGTGGAAATAAACGGTTGGTACTTTTAGAAAGTAAGAGCCAATTAGCATAATGATTGAGTTGAAAAACCACATTTGATTAAGAAACAAGAGATCCACGGGGATCAAGTCGATCGGATACGCGTGATGAGGCTGCATCAAAATATTATACCAGAGTACCAAATAAAA